CGCGCTGGGCCCCTGGGGGGCCCTCGGGGCTCCATCCGTCGAGATGGGGATAGGATCATCGCTCGTCCCTGCACCTGCGTCCTTGCAGCACCTCCGTCTCGAGCTGCGCTGGAGGGGGAGCGGCCACAGGGGCACCGAAAAGTGTGCGATCAGGGAGACACTCAGCCCCCTCTGCAGCTGGATCCGCGCCCCCTGGTTGAGGCGTCCGCGCGCGCGGAGGGCGTGCTGAGTCCTGAAGGGGCAGTCCGAAAGTGGTGTCCTCAGGGTCGTGCAAGGGGGGGGCCGCAGACCGACGTCGCTGGGGCCCAAGCTCGGGCGGCGGGAGACGCCTTCGCGAGGCGTGACGGGGGGGGGGACGACAAAGGGCCTCGAGAAACCAATCATTAGGACAAGAGTCAGCGGGGCGATCTCCTGGGTCCTCCATGGGGGGCGGGATTTTTCGGTGCCCAAGGCCAGCCGCAACGGCGGGCGATTTATTTCCCGCGGACGAGTCGGCCTTCTGGGACGTCATTTCTGGGGGGGGTCCGCCGCTTCCGTTTTGGTTATGGCCCATGTCTCCTGACAGCCCTTCTGCAAGCACGAGAGCGCCTGGCGCCAGCAAGGGCGTATCCTCCGCTGCTGAGGGGAGCAGGTTGTCAGCCGCGTCGTCGAGCGCCCTATCTCCTGCTGCCTGCGGTGGGCTGCGCTCTGCAAGGGGCTCAGCCCCCTTTCAGACCGCTTCCTGCAGCCGCAACTGGGCTGTTCCGTCATCCTGCCCGTCCCTCGACAGGTGTGGCGAGCTGACTCCAGCGTCCAAAATAAGCGGGCCCTCGCTGGGGCTAACGGGTTGTAACGGGTCCCCTGCTCCAAGAGAGTGGCTGGGGACTCACTCAGACTAGGTTCAACAAGGGGGTCCGGGTCAGACACCTCACAATCGATGCCGTCTGCAGCCCTGCGGGGTTGACTGCGCACGAGGCCTGCTGGGCGTCACGAGAGCTGTCGCTTTGGGGGGCTGCAGTGCCCAAGGGCTGGATCAGGACGCTGAGCCCCGGGGGCTGAAGGGAAGTCCCGTCAACCAAGGAGGGGGTAGCAGTGACGATGTCGGGGCAAAATTGGTCTGTCCCCAGCCCCATCTCGAGAGGTAGCTCCCGAAGTGGTACGCAGTGGGGGCCCGGGGGAACGCAGACGCGAACTTTCAGCCCATCCCTCACTAGCTCCCGCGATCCTGGTGGGGGGATTCGCGTCCAGGGAGGCCCCGTCGGGGTCCATGGCTAGGCCGCCGACCAGCAGGGGGGGCCGGGCGGCGGCCGCGGGGGCCGTGCGGCGCGGGCGCGGGGACGGGGCCCCTTGCGTCGGGCGCCCCCGTGAGTGCGGGAGACCCCGATGGGGGGCCCGCTCGTGGCTTGAGCCACGCTGCGGAGGGGTGACGGACACACACACACACACACACACACACACACACACACACACACCCACACCCACACCCACACCCACACCCACGTACCCACGCACCCACGCACCCACGCACCCACGCACCCACGCACCCACGCACCCACGCACCCACGCACCCACGCACCCACGCACCCACGCACGCACGCACGCACGCACGCACGCACGCACGCACGCACGCACGCACGCACGCACGCACGCACGCACGCACGCACACACACACACACACACACACACACACACACACACACACACACACACACGCGCGCACACACGCACACACACACACACACTACGGACGGAACAAACCCCAGGACTCGTCGTCCCCCCCAGGACCCGCCCGCTCCATTGCGAACGACGAAAGAAACGACGGCAAGAAGAGCCATCATCGAATCCGGAAACGGGGTCGAAACGGAATGCGCGCGGATCGGCCCGCATCGGCACGGAGTTGAAATCTGACCGGATCGGCCGTGCCAAGATGCACACCAGCACCATGCAAACATCGGGCCGGATCGTCGGCCTATCGAAGGCAGGTCGGATCGAGACGGCCAGAAGCGATGTTGAATCGGTAGAAGCCTCCTAGATGGGGTCCGAGTAGATGTGGTCGGAGGATCTCGCCGAATCGCCGGTACATCGGCGAAGCATCGCCGATGCATCGGCGATGAGTCGGCGATGCATCGGCGATGCTCTGGCGACGTCGGCGGTACATCGGCGATGTCGGCGTGGAGGAAATCGGGCCCCACATCGAGCCGCATCGCTGATGCATCGCCGATGCGTCGGCGATGCGGCGAGATCCTCAAACCCCATCGACTCCGACCCCATCTAATAGGCCTAGAATCATATCGATCTGATCGCAATGACGGCGGCGGCGACGGCGGCAGCGACGGACCCCGCCCCCGCCGCTGGCGCAGGCGTGGAGCAGCGTCCAGCCCACCCGGTCCCTCCACGAGGTGGCAGCCCCCGCGAGCAGCAGCGCCTGCATTCCTCCTCCTGACTTCTTCCTCCTCCTCCTCCTCCTGCTCCTCCTGCTCCTGCTCCTCCTCCTCCTCCTCCTCCTCCTCCTCCTCCTCCT